TGTCCCCCGCAGGGCCATGGGTCAGTGAGGGGCATCATGTCTCATAGTGGGGCTGGCCTCAATGTCCAACTTTCAAATACAGATGATGCAATGGAAAATACCATGGCTTTGGTCAGGCACATCTTAGTCCTCAAAGAAACATCCTTGCTCTTCAATATTCTAAAAAGGTCTTGTGCAGCAGATTTACCTAATGTAATACATCTTTTGATCTCTTGATTGCTGCTTCTATGAGAATTGAAAATTCAAGTAAGACAAAATCCTTGAAAACTTCAACCTTTTCTCCATTTACCATAATGTTGCCTACTGACTCAGTTGTGAAAATTTTGGCCTTCCTTACACTGAGTTGTAATTCATACTGAAGGCAGCAATCCTTGATATTCATCAGCAAGTTCTTGAATTCCTCCTCACTTTCATACTATACAGGTTGTTAATAAGCTTTCCAGTCTTGTTGCTGCACTCTTCTTCATATAACCCAACGTATCTGATGATTTGCTTAGCATTCAGAATGAACAAGTATGGTGAGAGCATATGACCCTGACGTTTACCTTGCCTGATTTTAAACTACACAGTATTTTCTTGCTCTGCTTGCACAACTGCCTCTTTATCCATGTCTAAGTTCTGAATGAGCACAATGAAGTGTTCTGGAATTCTCATTCTTCTCAAGGTTATCCACAGTTTATTATGGTCCACACAGTCAAATGCCTTTACAAAGTCAGAAACTCAAGGAAGCATTTTCTGGTATTCTTTACTTTCCACCAAGGTACATTGACATTAGCAATTATATCCCTTGTTCCATGTTCTCTTCTGAATCTGGCCTGAACTTCTGACAGTTCCCTGTCAATGTGCTGTGGTAACCATTGTTGAATGATCTTAAGAAAACATTTACTTGGGTGTGTTGCCGTGATGTATATGCTCTACCTTGACTAAAAAGATAGTTTTCCAAGAAAGTTAATGGATTTAGGGACAGAGAGGAGCTGGGATGAGGACAAAAGTGCACACTGGCTCCCAGGTGCAAGTTGACCACACATTTGGCTCTTGAGTTTTTAGGAGACATGACAAAGGCAAAGGAAGTCAACTGTGTGGGAGGAGGCCTGGTACCATTGCGGTCAGATGTCCATTTAACCATTTAACCACAGACACACAAGAACATGCCTACAGACAAGTTTCACAGGATTGTATTTTTACAGACTGTGTAAAACCCAGTAAACTCAATAAAAGGAAAACCGGAGGAGACCAATTCAAGGGGTTTTCAGCTCCAGTGCTGCTTTTCTGACTAGGTTTGGGAAGGCACATAATATTCAGGATATGTGAAAGTGGGTATGATCCTCTGTCTTTACCAGTGGGCAGGATGCTATCAGTGACCAAAGACAGCCATGGCCAGCCTCGTCTGACGGTGGAGGTGCTGACAAGTCTCCCTTTATTATAGTGAGCTGTTGAATAGGATGCTTTCCTGGGGAAGGGCGGGGGACACATAGTATTTTCTTACTCATGGTCCAGCAGCCACTGGAACTGGATTTGTAGCTCCCTTTCACCCCCACTGCTCCTCCAACATGTGTATGTTTGTGCACATGGGGGTAATGTGAAGCAATACTTTTCCCTACACATGTGTAGTGGCAGATTATTTGTAAGCTAGATGTTATAAGAGCTCCAGGTCTGCTGTGGAGGGCAGGAAAGGAGAGATGGGGGTGATATGGCTAGAAAATGACTGGTGTGCAGACCTGGCCACATATTGGGATCTTGATAGCAACTTTCATCCCACATCCACAGACACAACCCTAGCAAAGAAGCTTGTTCTCCAGAGATGCCCACTACTGTACAGGAAAAATTCTCCTTCCCTTACCTGCTGAGAGGTGGCTGTGACACGACTGGAGCAAGTGATGAGGCTGGTGTGGCAGCTACTGGTTGTCAAACGAGAAGCTGATTCCCAGTCTTACTTTGAGGTTCACCTGAAAATACAACCAAAGACATGTCCATAGGTGCAGATAGAAAGTCGTATTCTTGTGACTTTCAGAGTTCCCAGACTTCCAAGCTGCCCTGGCCGCTCTCCGTGATTTCTCTTTAAGTGTGTGGACTCTCTTATCAGACTGTGGGCAAATGCTGGGTGAAAGACAGAAAGAAAACATAAGAAGACCAAGCATATAGGCACACAGCTCTTCTTATGAGACTGCAGCTTTAGCTGGAGCCAGGATGTGTGGGCCTGAAACCTCCATCAGGCAGGTCCTGGCCTAACTGCATGCTCAAGTAGCTACTATTTACTTCATCCTGCTTATACTCTCATCACACCCACTCCAATGAACCTCCTAACACTTTTCTTATTATAAAAATAACATTAAAACAGAGTGAATTCTAGTAGAGAGAGGAAAATTAAAATCAGCATGAGATACCACCCCCCCATTAGAATATCAATGATAAAAAGTAAAACAAAAGGTGTTGATAAAATTGTGGAGAAACTGAAGCCGTTATTCATTGCTTATGGGAATGTAAAAATACCCATTCTGGGTATATTTACCCAGAAGTGAAGACGAGAATGTAAACAGAAATCAGGATACCAATGATCAGTACAGCACTTTCACAATGCCTGAAAGGAATACATTCCAACAAATGAATGAAAAAAATGAAGAGATAAACATATGAGGAGGCTCCAAACAGATTATGGGAAATTGAAAAAATTATCCATGAACATGTAGAATAGAATTCTACTCGACCCAAAGAAAAATGACGCTTTGATACATGCCACAAAATGGAAGGACCTGAAAGCACTATGCCGAGCACAATCTCTTTAAAGTATTAGAAAGCAAAGATACCACTCTGAGGACTCAATTGTGCCTGACTCGAACCGGGGTATTTTTCAATCACCTCATATGCAGTTAAAAGCTGCATAATGAATAATTAAGTCCAAAGAAGAATTGATACATTTGAATTATGGTGTTAGCAAAATGTATTGAATATCCCATGAACTGCCAGAAGAAAGAAAAAAATGTATCTTGAAAAAAGTACAGCCAGAACATTCTTTGGAAGTGAGGCTGTACTCGACCTCCAAACACCACAGGGTCACTGGGGCTCTGAGAAAAGTAAGACATATCTCTTGGAGGTTATTCTGAGGAGTGCCAGTCCCTCCTCCTCTGGAAATAGGAAAGTCTGCTTGTGCTTTTCCTCTGAAAGCTAGCTCAGATAGAAGCAGATCTCACAGAGAAGAGATGGAATTCTTGGGCAAACCTGGGGGACAATATCCAGTCCTGAAGGGGGCTCACTGCATATGGAGTCTGACTGAAAATGTGATTAAAAAAAGAAGGGAAAGGAGTAAAAACTAGAGAGAGAAAGAGAGAGGGGACTATGCCTCCTCTTTATTGGGAAGATCACTTAGTATACAATATCTCACCAGAGTAGAGTTGCTGGCCGGTGGACAGATTGATCACAGCATATTTTTCTGGTTTGTTTGAGAGAGATTGAAAGTTGAAAACAGATCTGGAACTTTTGAATCAAAGAAGGAAATAAGCTATCATACAGCAGGAGAGGAAATGGTAAGCAAAGTCTAAAGGATCTACCTGCTTAAGAGATTCTTTCAGAAAGTAGTATAGGCAAACCATTAAACTGGGGAGAACTAAGTTAATACCCAGGAAATTCCAACGTCCCAACAAGAGAATTACAAGACACATGAAAGAATGGAGAAAAACTATGACTTTTCTAAATGTACACAGACACAAGAAACGAGAAAAACAATATAAAAAGAAGCTAACATCTAATAATAGATATATTATAACTGAAAGGGAGAATAACAGAAATGTGAAATCTATAGAATGACTTATCAACAGGTTTAATTAGGCAGAAGAATCAAGGAAATAGAGAATAAAGTAGTTAAAAATCACAGAAGTTGAAGAGCAACAAGGAGGCTAAGCACGGTTTAATGGATTTATAGGACACAAAGAGAGGGATTCCAGAAGGATATGACAGAGAGGAAAATTCTGCAAGAATATTTGAAGAAATAATGACAGAAAATTTTATGAAGGACATGATTCTACAAATGTACAGATCTCAAATGTGTAGAAATGTACAGATTCTACAAATGTACAGAACCCAAGGCACACCGTTCTCAAAAAGCATAGAGAAGGAATTCTGAAAGCTGTGCAAAAGAAGCAAATCGTCACATAGAGAAGATCCCAAATATGACTCAATACCAATTTCTCCTAAAACACATTGGGGGCCAGAAAGCAATGGAGCAATGTATTTAAGTGCTGACTTAATTGGAAGCCCTAATCTAAGAGCAATTAGTTCTAATGATGTGGCTCTGCTGATGCTTGTCCTCATGAAGTGATCATTGAAGATATGGAAGCTATAGTCAAGTGTGATGAAGGAAAGAGATGGGGTTCAACTATTAGAAAGAATAGCGTTTGAGGTCTGAAAGGCTTATATTAAAACAAGCAACCATTTAAGTGAGGTGACAGTTAAGTCCTCAAGGAAGAAGCACACTAGCCCTTGTGATCCAAGGATGGAAAATAATAAAATCCAAGATCAGAAGGGGAACTGCATCAGAGCTTAAATTCTGAGCACCCATTTTGCCGAAGGCTATGGATGACAGTGAAAGCCCCAAATTCATTTGTAGAGTCCCCATGTGGATTAAGCCTCCATCAAATTCATCCAGACCATTTACTAGAGATGTGAATAACCTTGCCTTCAGAGTGCATTGGAAAGTGGATTACTACACAGATCAAACTCAAACTCACTGCTACTGAGCTGGTCCTGACATATAATGACCCTGTAGGGTGGAACTGAGTTGTCTCTTTAGGTTTCTGAGGTTGTGAATATTTGTGAGAGTGAGTGGCCTCATCTTTCTCCCATGGACTGGCTAGTGGATAAGCTGATGACCTTGCAGTTGGAAGCCCAGTGCATGGCACACTATGCCACCAGGGCTCTACTGCAGATAGTTAGGTTAACAGTTAACGTTTTATCATTTCTCTTCTGTTTTTTAATATTTAAAATTGGTATATTTTATTGTAGCCATAAAAAACAAGTCTAGAGAAACTACATTCTATCATATTTTTGCTTTGCAACTTGAGAAAGTCAGTTAACCATCTTAAAGTCAAAATCCTGATTTGTTTTCTTATTTTTTGTTAGTATTTTGTTGTTATATTTGTTTGTTCATTTTATTGGCAGATAATTCACATATACAATTCAATAGTTCAATCATATTAAGATGAGTTATATAATCATCACCACAATCCATTTTAGAACGTTTTTTTCATTCTTGTACTCATCGTTATTAGTTCTCCGTTTCCCTGCAACCTGCCTACCTAAGGAACTATCGATCCAGTTACTATCCCTATAGATTTATCCATCCTGGATTTATACAGAAAAACATTAAAAAGATTCTAACAATAAAAACAAAGCAAAGCAAAACAGATAAAAACCTCAATTTAGTGCTCGCTTCGGCAGCACATATACTAAAAAAAACCCCTCAATTTAGAAGAAAGTATAAAGGATTAAAAACTAGAACAAATTTAAAATGGATTATGAGATCAAATGATTAGGTGTTAAATATTAACCTAACTGCCTCTGCAATAATCCACTTTCCAATTCATTCTACATGATAGCAAGGGTATTCACATCATTGGTCCATGGTCAGAGGGGATTCACCAGAGGCTCAATTCATGTGTATTTCTTTTTTTTAATTTATTTTTTATTTTTTCTGTTTTTATTATTATTATTTTTTTAAACATTTTATTAGGGGCTCATACAACTATTATCCCAATCCATACACACATCAATTGTGTAAAGCGTATTTGTACATCATTCTCAAAACATTTTCTCTCCATTTAAACCCCCGACATTAGGTCCTCATTTTTCCCCTCCCTCCCTGCTCCCCCCTCCCGCATGAGCCCTTGATAGTTTATAAATGGGTATTTTGTCATATCTTGCCCTGTCCGACTTCTCCCTTCATCCACTTTTCGGTTGTCTGTCCCCCAGGGAGGAGGTCACACACAGTTCCATGTAATCGGTTCCCTCTTTCCTACCCATTCTCCCTTTACCCTCCCTGTTTTGCCACTCACACCACTGGTCCTATAGGGCTCATCCATCCTGGATTCCCTGTATTTTCAGTTCCTATCTGTACCAGTGTACCTCCTCTGGTCTAGCCAGTCTTGCAAGATAGAATTCGAGTCATGGTAGTGGGAGCGGGGAGGAAACCTTTAGGAACTAGAGGAAGGTTGTATTTCTCATCATTGTTACATCATGTGTATTTCTCCTTTATTTTTTAAAACTGAAACAACTTTAAAATAGGTCAAATGGAGAGAAAATGGTAAGGTACTACATTTTAACCTAACTACATATGCCATAACCTCTCTCTCTGATATAATGGTCTCTCTGATAATGAGGCTGTTCATATATCTCAATGCTGATCAAGACAACTAACCAGAGACTTAATTCATGTTTGGCCCCTGCAAATAAGGGTTCCACTGCCATCTATAACCTTACGCAAACCAGGTATTCACAATTTAAGCTATGTTACCATTCCCTTATTTGGACAATGTTGTTTGCAGTTCATGTATCACCACAGGCTGGTGTGCTTCTTCCATGTGGCTTTAGTTGATGGCTCATTTAGATGGCTGTTTGTTTGAACACAAGCCTATAAGACCCCAGAAGCTACTCCTTCTGAAATCCAGACACCATATAGTTTCTTCACCACCCTTAGCTATAACATCCAGAACTTCAGGGATCTCTTTGAGAGGGTGAGCATCAAGGAGGGCCATGTCATAAGAACTAATTTTTGAGACTGGGGCTAGAATTCATTGCAAGCTCATTCAAGCAAAGTGTAAACCGATTCAAGCAAAGTGCCAGCAAAATCCATTCATATACCTTTGGTTTACATGTGTCTCTGGTTCACCTTAAAGACACCATTATAATTTATGTTAGAGAATATTATCAATCATCCCCTTGGTGTATAACTTCCACT